GGGAACTGGGGGATTTCCTCTAACATATCCTTGTTGACAATTGTATTACAATTTAGGAGTTCTTTGAAGTTTTTTCTCCATTGAAGGCTGATGTTTTCTCTGTCTCTCAAAATGGTGCATCTTTCCTCTGCACCAGTTGAGGCCATGGGTGTTGGACCCGTATATAGTGTTTGTGGCATTCAAGAAATCCTAGGCGTCCTGCTTGTCAGCAAGAGTGGCAACTCCTTTGCTTTCTCAGTTCATCATTGGTTTTTGATCTCCCTAGTTCATCTTTGTAACTGCACCTTTGCTATATTAATGAGTTCTCCTCTTTTCCTCACTGGTGATGTTGTTTTCCAAGGCATGGAGAGCTTTCCCTTTCTTTTCCATGAGGTCTTGGATGAAGTGGTCATTTGCGTTGAACCAGGCTTGGTGTTTTTTGGTCTTGTATCCAATGGTATCTTCACTGCATGAGATGATAGCTATCTTCAGCTCTTCCTAGATTTACTCCATTCCACTAAAATGAACCCTTCGGAGATTTTGGTGAAGATTTTGTTGATAGTTCACTGGCCTGCTTGCTCTTGAAGCTGCTCAATGTGGAGCATTTTTTTTCTGAGCTGTTTATTCACCTTCAGCTGCTTCTGGCAGCGTTTGATGGACATTGAGCGGATGAGCAGGTGGTCTGTCCAGCACTTGGCTGCACTGGTCATTGCTTTGGTAATGAAGACGTCCTTTTGGTCTCAGGATCCAATGAGGACATTGTTCATTATGTACCAATGCTTTGCTTAGCTTATGGATGCCTCCAAAAAGTCTTCAGCTTGTCTTTTTAGTAGAACAGTCCGTTGGTGATGACCAACTGGTGTTCCACACATTTGGTAAGCAGGATAATCCAACTGACGTTGCAATTCCCAATTCCTTCTTTTCCTATAGTTTCTTTCCAGAGTTGGGATACTTTCCAACCCTGGCATTGAAGTCTGCAAGGAGCATAATTTTATATTCCTTGGGGATGTTGGTGGAGTAGAAACCTTGTTTAGATTCATCTGAGTCATCAAGGGTTGGAGCATAGACACGCACCACCATTGTCTGCTGCTTTTTGGCACATTTTAGTTGGAGATTCGTGAGGTAATTGTTGATGCCAACAGGGAGCTCTGAGAATCAGTCGATGAGTTCATTCCTAATAGCAAATCCAATTCCATGTGTCCCAGGTTGTTCCTTGGGTTTTCCTCTCCAGAAGATGTAACCACCGCATTCTTCCCTCAGCTGCCCTCTCCCTGCTGTTTGAGTCTCCTGTACGGCAGTGATATCAATGTTGAAATGCCTGAGTTCATGGGCAACAAGTTTTTCATTCTGGACAATTGATTTTCTCATTATCCATGAGGTTTCATACATTCCAGGCTCCAAGATTGGATTTCACTTTGGTTTTCGGACTGCAGGTCGATGAGCCAGCTGGATGCCATTTCCAGCCAGGTTGGTGATGGAGCAGGCTATTTTTACGCCACTTTTCTAGCTCCTTCCCCATGGAGGGGGGAATGGGAGTCAGGGGAGCAGAGTGAAGGACTGCTTCCTGTGTAAAAAGCTGTAAGATTTCTGATGAAGGGTCTAGGCCCGAAACGTCAGCCTCTCTGCTCCTATGATGCTGCTTGGCCTGCTGTGTTCATCCAGCCCTGCACCTTGTTGTCTAAGATTGCTCTCCTGTTCCTATTCCAAGTCAAATTCCACAATCTACATGCTGGTCTGAAGCTAGAGACTTCCAGATTTCTTAAACCTGTCTCCATCACCTCTTGTAGATCACCACACAGCGTGTGTTGTGTGTGAGGGTGGTTCGCCTCCTCTAGATGGACGTCTTGTTTGGGACATCATTTAACATGGGAATGCTGTTGCACATCAGCAGACACGCAGTCCTTGACTGAAGGTAGATCCTGTGCCGGTGACAAAAAAGCATTGACAGCTGGGGATCTCCCAACTGCTGCAGCCTTCACCTCCTGTCGCAGCCATTGATATCACACAAGGATCTTCTGCCTGGATCACTATTCACCGGAAACCTGTTGCTGACCTAGGACAGAACTGTGAGCATGACAGCAGGATGATGGAGTGTTGATAAGTCGAGCAAGTGGAAAATATGGGTCGTGCTTGTGGAGATGGCCTGAAGGTGGTAACCCAGTCTGATGTTGGTTTTCCAAACATAGCAGGGACTGCATTGCAGTAAACTGGATTAATAACAACTGCATTTAAACCGCTGCCTTACCCAGAAGGACTGTTTTGGGCCTTGGACAATGAAGAGGGAAGGAGAAAATAGGATGAGTATTCCACCTTCTGTGATATCCTGGAAAGGTGCTGTGGGGTTGAAGGAAGAAAAGAGATGATGGAAGAATGGACTAAGGTGTTTCAGAGGGAATGTGTTTTCCAGAATGCTGCGTGGGGAAGTTAAGTTTGGTGGTGGCATCATTGCTGGAGTTGGTGCAATTGGTAGAGGATGAGCCTTTTGATGTAGAAGCTGTGAGAAATGGTTAAATATGGCTGAGGGCCCTGTCAAGGGCAGTGGGTAATTCTGGGAAAAAGGTTGTGTCTGAAGCACCATTGTGGAAATTAGCATTATCAGAACAGATGTGACAGAAACAAAGAAACTTGGAGAAAGAAGTGGAATCCTTTCAGGAAGCAGTCTTTGAAGAAGAGTAGACAAGAAGAAAAATATTTTACTGCAATCCACCTTTATAACAGTACAATAGTATCTCATACTAATACAAGTTCCTGTGGATTATATGTTATGGTTATGGATAAATTGAGGTGCAGGGGTAATATTGTGAAATGTGTTGTAAGGGAGACAGTGGAAACTATATTCTTCAATTTATGGGCCATTCACTTAGACTGTCAAATCAGACTGAATATTTATTGATCACTTTCATTGTCCTATCTGCTCTGTTCATAATTGACATTTTTTGGGATTGATGACATTCCAAAATTATATTATTGTGTTGGAAATTCAGAAAGCAAGTTACTCTGTATGAATGACCTTAAGATTCCAATAACTGAACTCAGCAGGTTTGCATTATGTAGGGAAACTATTGTTGAATAACTAGCTAGCAGAAGCGAGGGCGTAGAGGGGTAAATCTGTCGTTCTCAAGTTTGATATTCTCCCATATAACCGTATAATAGCCCTTCTGCACAATGATCTAGTAAGGAGTGTGCACTTAGCTGAAAAACAATTGGAAAGTTACTGAAGCCTTATTGATGAGCTATGTGATGTTTAGCCAGTGAAATTCTAGAGATCTCCTGTATTCATTTGGAAAATCCATAATACATGTACCCAGTCTTACAAATCTGCACCTCTGCTCTCTATATTTGAGTAAATGGGGAGTTTTAATTTTTTATACAGCAAAAATAAATTCTGCAGTTATAGATTTTTTTTTTCTCTAATTTGGCTCAGACTTTAAAGGTAGCAATTTATTTGTAAACCAGACATCAGAATGATCCAAAGAAATTCCATTACGTTCAGGTAAGATATAAGCATGTGGTCATGATTCTTAACACATTAAATTTTTGATCTTCTTATCCATGCAGTTTTGTAGGCATTCTAAACAGGACAAAATGTTCCTTTTTCAGGCAGGGATTGAATCAATACTACTTTGCCTATTCCCAGTGATACAACTTTGCCAACACCTAGGAACACCCTTGTTTGAAAAAAAAAGAATCTGAAAGGAAGTGCAGTGAAATATACCCATCAAAAGAAATTGCTATTATTTCACTGAGATTGCAGAGACAAATTTACAGCTGGGTCATAATTTATACTCCTTTTACTATTATTCAATGCACAATGTACGAATTAATTAATAAATTCTGACCAATCTCCATTCAATAGATAGAACTATTTTGTAATTTTAATGAGCTGTTTTACCTATTTGAAGGAGTATAAAGAAGAATTGCCAGTGTTTGTATTGGCGTGATCGTTGTGCTCCCAGTGACCAATGAGAATCTGGTTTCTATCTTACCAGAGCTTTCTTAGAATTGTCATATAGACTGAGTTTTAGCTGTTGCTTTTACAGTTAGATTTTCCTAATATTGCAATGGCTTTCTTGAAGTTCCAACAATAATGGTTACCATTATACCTTATTTCATAGCAGACATTGTCAGTTTCCCACGATGAACTCCTGTCCACACTGAAAGAGAATATACCACATAGCCCAAATGTATTTTTCAACTTTGAGTTAAATTCAATTAAAGTTAAAATAATTTGTACAGAAGCAAAAATAAAAACAGAGCTAGTAACTCTGACTTGGACAATACTTAAATCTGTCCAAAACAAAATAACATAGAATCCAAAATTATAGTAGAATGTTGTTAACAAAGTCTTTGCAATGACTGTCTATTCTATAGAATCTTTCACATTATTACCAGATAGAAATATGAAGGCTGGTCTGGTATACATGTGATTGACTCTTTACTATCCTCCGGGAAATTTGGAAAGAACAATAAAGGTTTGCCTAGTCAATGATGCCCATATCCCATGGTCAAATTTAAAAAAGAAAGGATAACTGTTGATATAGCAAACACCCACACCAAGTATGTAATTCTTTTGGTTTCCAGGGCAAAAAACAGACACAAGATCAAATTAGTACTTTCCCTTTGGCTAAGAAATCATATTATCAGTCTATGTTATCATTCACATAGTTAGGATATGACCTATGTTTTCCTGATCTCCAGCTTATGCATAGTCCATTTGGCTCTGATTGTGAAACTTTAAGCTCTCATGCTTGAATAACTGATATTCCTCTTCATGGGCAATAGTCATGGTTGTCTATTGTCCCAACAGAAACAAAGGAACTCTTGAGAATACATCTAACTCAAACCTCATTTTAAAGTCTTTTAAAGAAATAAGATATAATACAGATAATGCAGTGCTGGAGGCATCCATTGTTGTTAAAAGTTGCTTTGTTACTCCCGTACATTCATAATGAGAAGAATTAATGAATTATTTATTACAAAATTCAGAATTACAGCTGACTTAGTTCTGTAATTTTTCACAGTCATGCCATCTTGGAGCAGAAGAAGCCAAAGAAAAATTATCCAGTCTGACAAAGGTCAAGGACAAGTTGACCCTTGAACTGTCTGTTACGAACAAACGATTGTCTCAGACACAGAAAGAACATGTTGCTTTGCTAGCAGCTTGTGCTCTTATGGCTGGTGCATTGTGCCCATTATACTGTAGATCCCGTGAACTCTCTGTGCAGAAGGACATCCTTCAAGAGCAAGTACATACCTGTGAATATTTCAAAAATGAAATCAGGACTGTTGTCCAGGTTCTTTCTCTGGAAAGTAATCCAAGCAAGTTGAAGAAAAAAAAAACCTCAAAAAGGATTGATACAAGTTTTCAGAAAAAGTGTTATAGCAATCTTAGCGGCCAACAGACTTCAAGCCTTGGGTCTTGGATATAAGCCTCTATTTACTTGGACTGAAGGCTTTAATAATAAACCAAGACTTGCAATTTGCACCGGCAAAGTGAAGTCCTACATCACTCACTCAAGTAAGTACTGACCTGGCTGTTATTTCGAAATTGCAATTTATTACTATTTTAGCCGCAGATCTTCAACTACTAACTCCCTATTTGATCTTTATAGATTCTGCTCCAAAATTATTCAAAATAAGTGATCATAAATGTCTGGAAATCTGCTCTTTATGAATAAACAAAATCAGTAATGTAACATCAGCTCTGTGAGAAACTGTGAATGGCAGTTTCCATTCTCCTATTGGGAATTCCAATCCTTAATTAAGATCTTTAATCATTTAATCTATTGTCGATGCAGTAGATTTTGGACACTGACACTGGCTGATATTTTTGTTGATCCAGTAAACATTATCTGCTGACAACCAGAAATCTCTTTGTCTGACATTAGTGTTGACTGCTCCCAATTGGTGCCACCTATTCTCAAGTCTGACCTCAGTGTGTTATGGTGTCATTAGAATTTATCTTGTTTCAATATCAGCTGTTGGACATTTCAATCGGCAACACTGAATCATTCTTGAAAGATGATATGTAAGAAGCAAGTGCAGGTTTTGTTTCAAAATGTATTACCCTCAAATTTCAATTGTCACTTCTCCCCTCCTATTCTGAAGGCTAGATATGTGGTGGTACAGTCCATGGATGCCACTGATCTTAAAATTTCTTTTTTTGGTCATTTTTTTTTCCATTGTGCCAGGCCAAACTACTAGTATTAGCCATCCATATGATTTCAGAACATATTGCAGCTGAGCATGCTTCAAATCTGGCTTATCTCTCATCTTTCCAGGAAGGGTCATTAGGAAATAATTGAAGTAGAATTGTGGCTAACTTTTTTCCCCATTGCCTGATGACAGTTGTATCACTAGCTCAAACCTAACTAGCATTAAAAAAAACTGCACACAATACTACAGGTGTCATCTCACCACAGCCCTGAACCATTGCAGTGAGAAATCCCTGCCTCTGCACTTGAATCTTCTTAATATGAGGGCCAGCATGCAATTTGTCTTCTTCACTGCCTGCTGCACCTGCATGCTTACTTTCAGTGACTAGGTCTAGTTGCTAATCTTTCCTAATCTGTCACCATTCAGTTAATTATCTGCCTTCCTATTTACCTACATTATATTTCATCTGCCATGCCTTTGCCTACTCATTCAACTTATCGAAATCTCTGCACCTTCCTCACAGCTCATCCTCCCATCCAGCTTTTTGTCATCTACAAACTTGGAGATATGTTGTTTAATTACCTCATCTAAATCATTAATACATATTGTGAATAGCTGGGGTCCAAGCAGTGATCCCTGCTGTACCCCACGAGTCACTGCCTGCCACTCCAAAAATGATCCATTTATTCTTACTCTGTTTCCTGTCAATGGTTATAAGAACAGAAAACTTTAAGTGGAGATTTAATAGAGGTGTTCAAAGTTATTAAACAATTAGAAAAATTGATATAAGGTAACAAATTGCAGTGGTAACCTGGGGGAAACAGCCTGTTGTCATTTTGAATGCACTACCTGAAACATTAATGCATGAAAATTTGATAAGTTACTGAGAATTGGCTGGGAGGAAAATTTCTAGGGAAGAGAAAAGAATAGGGGAGTGAAATTAATCCGTTTTCTTTCAAAGAGCTGACACGTTAGACCAAGTGGTTGCCTCCTGTATATTTCTAGCATTTGCAGTTAAAGAATTGCTAAATTCCTGTAAAATATTGGTGATAATAAGAAGAATTCAATAAGCATTCTTTTGGACAGATGGTTTTGAAGCAAGACTGTTTCTTGGATATGTGTTGTACTCTTGTCTATAAAGAAATTTCTCTTTGAGGAAAATCTCTCGTTTTAACCATCCATACAGGTTTAACTTAACAAAGTACTTAATGATGATACCCTCGGGTCCAGATGAAGACCAGATGTTTGATATCAGTTGCCAGTTCCATCGGTCTTGGTGATGTTTGCCATGCAAGGAAGTTATTTACTTGTGACAATGGGATGAGCTTGTCTAAATACTTCATTACACCACTTCTTTTGAATTATCTAGATTCTTTGAATTTGGTGAATATTGTTTAATCTTAGTTTGGAATGTGCCATAAGCATGTGTCTTTTTTCAGTAGATGGTTTCTTGTTCTTGCGAAAAGTGAGTCTGTCCCAGGATAGGTGCTTTCCAGTACAGACCTATAAATTTAGTCACTGCACGCTCATTTATCAATCATAGCAGGGTGCCCAGGCATTTGATATGGTGATTGGGACACCTTACTTATTTACATACTGGAATTGTTGCTTCACAGGCTTCCAAATTGCACAGTGGAACTTGTTACATTGCTAAATAAAAGATTAAAATTCAGGTCTGCTGCTATGGGCCATCTTGTGATATCGGACTGCTCAATCAAATTGTCCAGCAACCCATGGCACTGATGGGCAGGAAGGATTCTTCAGCCTAGCCATTACATACAGACTTATTGCTAGTTTGTCATTTGAGATTTGCTGGCCAACTTCTGGTAATTATCTGCTCTTCTTTCTAATCTGGAGGACAGATTTGCAATTGCTGAGAAGGGTTTGTTGATATTGACTGATACCTAACCCATTTTACTGCAGTTATGGGTAATTTAATTTGCTGGTTTTGTGGCTAGAATGGGAAGAGCAGCAAGAAACAGAGGAAAGAGCAGGAAAAGTTTTAAAAGGGAGGAGGAAAGCACTGCACAAAAGGCTTTCCCAAACATTGTTTTATAGGAACAGTTCTCTGACATGAACTGCTGGAAGAACAATACCTCAGGTGCTTCCACTTCAAGGAAGTCATCATTATTTAGCCTGCCATAGTCACATTAGCCACAGAGCAGTATGTGGGCAGTATGGTTGATGGCCGTGAAGGTCACTTTGGCCGTTTTCTTTTGTGTTACAGGCCCTTTCTTGGCTGAGGGAAATGTCTTAGTAACATCTTCACGGTCCATTGTACCAGATGTAGCAGGTGTAACTTCACATATCAAAAGGAATATCCTACATATGTTTTTCCAAGGATAGAGCAAAACAGGATGAGAGAGGACTTGGCTTTATATTCTTGGCAGTCTTCCTTGAGTTCCATGATGCTGTAGACAGCATTCCAGTTTCTTGAGTCTGACGTTTCTCTCAATAAAAATTGATTCCATTCTCTCAAATTCCAGCTGGCTTGTGGTCACAAGGAGCAGGTCATGCAGATCTGTGCCTGATTTTTTTTGGCAGCAATCATCATCCCACACTAAATTTTGCTTATGGTTATTTAATTTGGTATTGGACAGTATGGGCACAATTAGATGCACAGACCACAGGTCTGAGTAACCACAACTTCTGTATCCAAGAGGATAAATAATGGAAACCCAAAATAATAATAAACCATAATCCCAGTTTCAGAAAGGCAGTGTGAAAAGTGAATTTTCTTTAAGCTGTCCTGTTATCTCAGTTTAGTTCCATAAAATAGATCATTGTGTATTGCAAATTCCTTCTATGTTAGAAACTGTTGCAATAGCTCAGGACCTGGAATTGGTTGTTTTTATCTTTATCTTGGCTGGAATTACTAAGTCATCTTTTTATTTAATTTTATAATGATGTTTCTGTGAATTTAAGCTTTTGATTCTGAAAACTGTTTTGTGAACAGTTAGCACAAGGCAAGTTATCACATGGTGAAGACATAGGCAATATTTAGTAATATATCCAAGAAGCAGAAACCGCTCTATTACTTCAGTGTATAAAAACACTGAAATTTAAGGCAGAACATATTCCATATTGAAATTAAACATTTTCTTCTACTAGAATTCTCACAAAAATGGTTAACAAAATTTCATAGCATGCTTCAGTATAGGTTTTACATTTTTCTGTATACATTATTCTATGCATTTACCTAATACTATATGTACTGTTATGTTACTTTGTCACTCTTTTTTGTTAGGACAGGAAAGTGAGCCGAACCATTTTATCCAGGCTGTTGAATGGTTTTCCAGTTCTGAGCTATTGGCTGCAGTAGTTGATTCTATGGCTGAGTTACAGGATGTTATCACTAAATCAAGTAAGTCGATCCTACAGTTCAGTCTGGAAAAAATAACCTATAATCAGTCTATTTAATATTACAACTGTACATACATGTTCAACCTAATTAAAAACTCTGGCCAAATGTAGACAGTGATCATAAAAGGGAAATGTGATTTAAACTTTACTTTTAACAGTATTGAGAACCTATGGTTACAAATGGATTTGTAGATGACATTTTGTTTACTAAAATTTTCAATAATGTGCAGCAAACAACTCTTCAAGGACTTTTTTCATTTATTGCACTGTATTATTAACTGATTGCAATGTCCAAGATGTACTCTGTGATCGTTTGCTTGTTGAGATCAGTATGTGAATATACTCCAGTTAACTGCTGCTCCGTCATTGTGTTGTATGATCTCGTATTCTCTGGCATGCAGTTTCTTTCACTGTATAAAGTTCAAATCCTTAATGCAAGGTAAAGCGATATTTTCAAGTTGTCATGCATGACCTCAGCATAAAGCCATTTTTGTGCATTAGTTACATGTTTCATCTTTTTCCCCGTAACATTGAATGCAGCCGAATGTTATTAACTGCATTCTATGTGACTGATGAATTGAGATTATTGTTTAATTTTCCATCATCTCACACTGACTAACAGGGATCTAAGCAATTGGTTGATTCTGCTTTAAATCATTCATGTCGAATTTGGAAAACATGTATTTTCCGGAATTGTACATATTCTGAGTTTTCTGTCTTGAAAATGTCTTGACAAGTTCCAAATATAATGGAAGTCAATTAAAAAGACCTGACTCAAAGGTTCCGTGGAATGCAACAATCTTAATCCCCTGTTTTGAGAAATTTTGAAACCACTTTTATGATAAATATAAAACTGTTTTGTGTACAGCTGTCAAGGCCTGTTTCATAACCTAAGCTCCTGCCAACTGGTGAACTTACAGCTAAATATAGTGCTGGCCGCATCTCTACACAGAATAAATATTTAGAGAATTAAACTTACCTCAGGGGGAAAAATTGGAGGTTGGAGCATAACAAACTTGTGATCTGCTGACAAGAGGTCCTACAAAATATTGTGGATCAAATAAAATCTAGAAGTTTATAATATAAGTTGAGAATGCACACCAAAATGACAAAATAAAAGTTGCCAGAAAGAGTACATTTGAAGAAACTGGAGTGAAAATTGAGGCAATTAATGCCACACACAAACAAATAGATAATTTTGGCCACTTAGGACAAGGAAAACAAAAATGGTAGATCTATGCCAAAGTCACGAGGATTGAGATAGGCAGAAGTAATTTCTTGAAGGTTAAGGATATGTTAATAGCAATAAATTCTAGCTTCTAACAAGGAAATAAACTTAATGTAAAAACCAAAAGAACTGCGGATGCTGTAAATCAGGAACAAAAACAAAGTTGCTGGAAAAGCTCAGCAGGTCTGGCAGCATCTGTGGAGGAGAAAACATAGTTAACGTTTCGTGTCCGGTGACCCTTCCTCATAAACTTAATGTATTTTGTGCAGATTTCAAACAAAATATTTCCATCAAGTAGTATTGGTTCTTCTTCATACGTAGAATCTCTACAGTGTGGAAGCAGGCCATTTGACCCATCAAGTTTACACCAACCCTCCAAAAAGCATCCCACCAAGGCCCAATCCCCGTACCTTGTAACTCTGCATTTCCCATGGCTATTCTACTCAGCCTGCACATAATGGGCAATTTAGCATGGCTAATCCACTTAACCTGCACATCTTTGGGCTCTGGGAGGAAACCTGAGCATCCAGAGGAAACCCAGGCAGACACAGGAAGAACATGCAAACTCGACACAGTCAGTGGCCCGAGGCTGGAATTGAACCAAGGTCCCAGGTGCTGTGAGTCAGCAGTGCTTACCACTGAGCCACCAAGCCACCGTGCCACTGCAATATTGGCTACTAAAGAGATCTGCCTCTTGTCTATTTGGTTATAGCAAATCATGTATGAAGCAATAAAGGAGATCATGCCAAGGCCTAAGCATGTTGAGATTACCTTGCCTGCCTTTGTTGGAAAATAGTCAGAATGTCCAATCATTTGCTAATTTCTCCTTGGATGTGTTCTGAGTCCTTAGTACTTGATATAGTTACTCCATACTTCTGACAATGCTACAAATGTTTTTTCTACAAAATATTATCAACAACATGCTATTTCAAAAAGAGTAAGAATAGATTTTGGTCTGATTTATTGTTGTCACATGTACTTAGGTACAGTGACAGGTTTTGTTTTGCGTGCAGTACAGGCAGATCATAACATACAATGACATACAGACCATATGATGAACAGAACAAGGCATACAAAGTTACGGTTGCACAGGTGTACTAAAGCAAGATGAGCATTTGATTTGAAATTTGAGAGGTCTATTCAGCAGTTCTAATAACAGCAGGGAAGAAGCTATTCTTGAACATGTTGTTACATGTGTTTAAGCTTCTGTACCTTCTGCCTGACGAGAGACGTTGGAAGAGATTGTAACCAGGATGGGAGAGGTCTTTGGTTGCTTTTCCGCAGCAATGAGAACTGTAAATAGAGTCAATGGATGGGAGGTGGGCTTACGTGATGGTCTGGGCTATGTTCACAATTTTCTGTAGTTTCTCACAGTCCTGGGCTGAGCAGTTGCCGTACCAAGCCATGCTACACCCAGATAGAATGCTTTTATTGTTAAATTTGGTGAGAGTCCTTATGGTCATGCCAAATTTCATTAGTCTCCTGAGGAAGAACAGGCGTTGTTGTGCCATCTTGAATGTCTCATTGACATGGGTGGTCCAAGATAGATTGTTGGTTATCGTCACTCCCAGGAACTTGAACATCTCGATCCTCTCCACCTTAGCTCCAACGATGTAGGTAGCATGTCCTCCTCCTTTCTTCCTGAAGTCAATGAGCAGCTGTTTAGTTTTGCTGACATTGAGGGAGAGATTGTTATCTTTGCAACATGATACTGAGCCCTCTGCCTCATCATTGTTTGATATCCGGCCTACAACTGTGGTGTCATTAGCAAACTTGCTATCTACAAGGGTGTTGAAGATTATTGTGGAGGAGATGTTGTTGTCTATCTTTTATTAATTGTGGTCTGTGGGTTAGAAAGCTGAGGATCCAGTTGCAGAGGGCAGAGCTGAAACCTAGGTCTTGGAGTTTGGAGCCTGACGCAGATATCCTTATTATCCAGATGTTCCAGGGATGAGTGTACAGCTAGGGAGATGGCGCGGCCATGGACCTGTTGTGCTGGTAGGTAAATTGCAATGGGATCGAGGCAGGCTGGGAGGCTAGAGTTCATGTGAGCCATGATGAACACCTCAAAGCACTTCATAATTATGGAGGTCATAGCCACTGGGAGGTAGTTGTTGAGGCACATTGCAAATACAAACAGTAGAGATATGTTATCTCATTTTTCAACTTACCAAATGGCTACATTTAGTCAAGTTGAAGATTTTAAACACAAGACAGTTAAAATCCTTTTTCAATGTCTGATGGGCATGGTTTCCAAGTCAAACTGCCCATTTCTTGATAATGACAATCCAAATTTTGAACCATGTCTTTAGCTTTCACACTTCACCAGTAAAGAGCAGCAATTGAGAAGTGGTACTACTGGTGTAATAACCATTAAAAGATCACTTTGCCTGTTTGTCAAGAATACAAAAAAGTTTGACTTTGGAATTTTAGAGCTAAATCAACATTCATTGCTACCACAAACTCTGCTTTCCAGGAAACAAATGAGCTCTTTCATTTTCATTCAGAACAAAACCAGCAAATGGAGCATTGACTATCGTTTTCAAACGTTTCTATAAATATTACCCCATCTCTGCTATTCACATGTTAGAACCAATAGTACATGGCAATATGAATGATTGAATATCATGCTCAATGTTAAGTTCAAACAAATCCAATTTTGGCTGCAAGAGTCTTAACTTGTATTTTAGAATTTATGGAGTAATGTCAACATTTTAAAGAGCAATATAATCTGTTTAGTGGGCATAATTTGAAGCTATAGGAATCCATCCTTTAAGAATAATAAACATAAAACAGTCTGAAGATGTTACAATTTTTAAAAATTCCGCTGTCTTGCTTGGATTGATATGTTCGGCAGTGTTGCTTGTTTTCCATCAGTTGTAGTTGTTACCCGTTGGTGTTTTCCCATGGGATCTTTGAGAATGCATGGCTGCTTTCTAAAAATCAGTATTATCCAGGGGTTCCAAGTTCATAGTTTCATTGACAGATCAAAAAGGCTGCTAAAGGATTAGCTGCCTTTGATTTGGGGATGGATAGATGTTTGTTTGCTTCTATAAGTGATTAAGCACCTGTGTTTTTTCTTTAAAAATGGTCCATATCAAAAGATTTTTTGAAATGGCCATATCTTTACTGTGAGAATGCGATCGAGGCAGACCGGGAGGCGAGAGTTCATTTTTACTGTCCTGGTTTTTGGAACTTAATTTAGTCCCTAAATGGCTCCCAAGATCTGTGCGGCATGACTACTATGTGAGTTATTATTGGAATGTAAAATGGCTGGGGTGGGCAGGGGTCATAAATTGGCATAGAAAGATACAAGGTATCGGGGGATTAGAAATGAGGATGAGAAGACTTAAAGTTTATAACAACTGGGATAATTTTGCAGGGAACAGAGGCTGGCCTTCAAACTGTCCCTGTGACTTCTCTCTGACTCTATCTTGCATCTGGCCCCTCCTCCAAGTAACTTTTCCCAATGAGCTGCCTCACTTGGATTATCAAAAATAAAACTCTGGGTCAGTGCTTTGTTGATGTAGTAGTATATTAAACTTGCTGAATTGAACAAGATCAGCTCATTCTATTGACTAATGTATTTCCCTCCTTTTTTCTTCATGAATATAAGGAGCATGATGAATGAAAGAAGGCTTGGAAATTTATAGAGCAGTAGATCAAAAAGAGCTGTCACTTTCTGAAAATATGAATGTTTGTTCCTGCTGTGTGGATCAGCAGGGAGGAGGCAAACTCTCTAGGGACGTGGACTGAACTAAACCTTTGATGAA